CCAGCCGTAGCTGCTCAGCCCGCACAGCCCGGCCTGCCCAGGGGTCCCGCTCAGGCCGCAGGTCTGCAATGGGGAAGCGTAGCCGCAGCGTGGCCTGGGGTGCTGTGAGACGAAACACCGTCCGCTGCTCCATGGCTGGCGGGGGCTCTGTCTGTGGGAGGCCATGGAGGTCAGTGCTGCTCAGTTCCCAGCAGGATGTGTGTCCTGCTCTCCACCCAGGCCTGACCCCGGCTAGGCATCTCACCAGCAGGCTGGCAGGTGGCTCGGGGGGTGTGGTGGCCAGACGTAGCAGGGCAGTTAGCCGGTCCAGGGCCCCTAGGTCCACATCTGCTTGGAAGTCGGCCAGGTCCAAAGTCAGTTCTGAATGGCACTGGCAGGCAACTGAGCGCCGGGGTCGGCTCTGGGGGCGAGGGTATTCAGGTCAGCAGGAGCCGTGAGGTAGGGGAGGGCAGGGAGCCCAGTAGGGGCCTGGGAGACTTTTCCCACCCTGCTAATACAGACGACATGCTAGGCTCTTAAATAAAAGCCACCCAAATTTGCCCTCCCAGCCTCAGAAGCCTAGCAGGAAGGTGCCACGTTGAGACAGGGAAAGGGTCAGTGAGGCTGAGAGAATGGCTGGACAGGGCACAGAGGAAGCTGTTCAAGGGGCCTCTGAATGGTAAGGTGTCATCTGGCGGGAACACAGGGAAACGGGGATGGGAGCAGAAAGTAGGGGAGACCCTGGCAGAGACCAGGGTGGGGTCAACGCACCATGAGAAACTGCCAACAGGCTCTAGGCCTGGAGTAGGGGTGGGTTACCTTGGGCACACGACGCAGGGTCTGTGTGTGGCGCAAGTGGGCACAGGGCCGAGCAGAAGCCTGGGAGCCCAAGTTACTGGGAAAGCTCAGGAGCTGGGACAGGACACAGGAGGTGAGCGGGGCCAGGCCTCGCCCCATACCCCTGAATCTCAGGCCCTGCCTGGTACATGCTCTGCCTCTGTCCTCACCTCGGTGTACTCTGGCTCCGACGTGCCGCTGGGCCACAGACACTCCAGCACCTCAAGCTGGCCGAAGTGCACCTCTGTGCTGGCTGTCCGCCGGCCCCTACCACCTGCGCGCAGCTCCCAGGACAGCTGCACAGCTGTGCCCGTTAGCCTGAGGGGAGGGGGACAGCGTCAGAGCGTGTGCTTGAGGGGCTCCGCTAGCGTCTCCTCAGGCCCCCGTCTTGGGCTTGTACCGGACATGGCTTTGGGGACAGGCCCTCTGGAAGCGCGGCCGAAGGTGGTGGAAGTCGCGGGAGCCGAAGGGCCCTTCCTTTGTGGCATCAAACTCGGCAAAAAAGTGGGTGGGGAGGTCAGGTGGTCCAGAAGATGGGGCAGACGTCTGAAGCAAGGTCACGGTCACACCCCCCAAGGTCATCTTCAGCAGCGAGTCAGGGCGCATGGTGTCCGGGAGGGGTGTGGGGGCCGCCTTGCCTGAGGGGACAGAAGCTTCACCAGGGGCTCCCAAGAGCTCATCACCCATGTAGTGACTATTTGGCCACCAGGCTGGGGGGCTGGGAGAAACCCTGGCCCAGCTGGACCATGGGGAACCGCATCTGCCCCTCTGTGTGGGCTCTGACAGGAGGCTTGGTCAGGCAGGGGTGACAGCAAGTGCCAGCAGGTGGCATGGAGGGTTAAGGCTGGATCCCACCTGGCTAACAGTGATTTGAGCTGGACCTGGCGGTTTGAGAATCACACCAGTCACATGTGTGTGTATGTGCCCAAAATCTCAAGAGGGTGATTTCTCACTTTGCCCCTCTCTTTCTCTCTCGGGTGAGCACACGTGCCCTATAGCAAAAACTAAAACCAAAATAGAATAAAGTAAACTGCAAGGGTGCTGGAAAGATTGGATGTGCTCAAAGACCCAGCCTGGTGCCTGACCTCAAACAGTACTGACCAAAACATACGACCTCACAAAGTTCCACCTTACTGTCCCCTTTTCATAGAAGGGGAACTTGAGTCTCAGAGAGTTCCAGTGCCAGCCAAGATCACTGCCTCAGAAAGCTAGGCTTCCCCTGAACTTGGTCCCCAGGGTACTGAGTCACATAGAGTGGACCTTCAGGCATTGCTGGGGGCCTCACACATGCGCCCGAAGTCACACGGCACCCAGGCCTCTTCCAGCCGTTCCTACCCCTCAAGTGCCGCCCAAGGTGCCCTGACTCACCAGCCGGGTGGGCCTGGGCAGAAAGCCGGTGGGAAGTCACGTTGCTGTGTACAGAGGAGCCCAGGTCTACATCGGAGAGGGAAAGCTCAGACAGGGCTGAGGTGGCACTGCTTGTGAGGCCAGCCATGGAGAAGAAGAGGTCTGTGGGTGACATAAGTGTCAGGGACAGCAGGACTCAGCTCCGAGACTCCTGCACCCATACTCGCTGCCCCTCCGACCTAGGTCTGGTCCCACACCCACCAGTACTATCCAGGTTAAGAGGAGGATTGATAAGGGGGTCCGGGCTGAAGGGCTCAGCCACAGCCCCTGCCTGCAGCTGCTGGTTCAGGTCCTGCTCAATCAGCCACAGGTCTTCAGCACCTAGTGGGCGGCTCTTGTTCAGCTTGTCAGTCAGACCCTCGGTGTCTGCAGGGGAGGACACTTTAGTCCAGCCTGGCTGGCCTTCCCTGGCCATCCCACTCCCCGGACTGCTCAGAGGCCTTACCCGCAAGGCTCATGGCGTTGAACAGTTCCTGCAGCTGCTGGAGCTGCCGTGGGCTCAGGAGCAGGTGCAGGGAACCCAGCTGTCCTGCCACCTCCAACTGGGGGCCAAGGGGAGCAATGAGCCTATGCCGTCACCTGGCCTACCCACCTTCCTTCACCCAGGGGAGAAAGATGCCAGTTCCCAGGCTACACTCTGCTACCAACAAGCTGTAGGAACTGGGTCACAGCTTGACGCCACTGAGCCTCAGTTCCTCCAGTTGCCAAGAAAGCAGTAATTTCCCCCCACCTGACAGCCCCCCTGACCTGGGGAAGGCAGCATTGCTGAGGAGTCCCTTCTCCCCAGGGTCCTGAGGACCCACCTTGGGGCCCGGGAAGGCCTCATTCTGCTTCAGCTTCACCATTAGCTCCATGTACCCTGAGCAGCTGCCAATCTGCAAGGGGGGCTCTGGAGGCTCTTCCTGGGAGGTGAGAGGATATAGGAGGGGGTTGAGAACATGGAATCAGAGATAGTTGGAGGGTGGCGGAGGTCCAAGGGCTACAGGGAGTAGGAGAAAGGGACTGCGGGAACCAGAGTCAGCCCACCTGTGGTGGAAGCTCCTCGAAGTGCAGTCGGACCCCCGCCAGCTGCAGCAGCTTGTGCAGGAAGGCAGGTGGCTGATGCACATCCACCGGCGGTGCCTGGCTTGGGTCCCGCACCGCCTCGTCACAGTACTCCAGTCTGGGGAGTACAGGGTCAGCCCTTGCCTGGCCTCCATGGGCCTGGAGCCCCTCTCTACACACGATGCTCTGTTCTAGAGGCAGGGGTTGGGGAGCCTGGCCTGCAGAGCTGCCCTGTGATACCCAGGCGGCCTTGAGTCACTATGTCTACCTTGGGGGCTCAGGCCAGCCTTTGGTCATCAGACCCTCCACAGCGAACCTGATCCTTGGGGCCCCAGTGACTCTGGGCCTGCACCATGCAGCCCCTGGACACCAGTCCAGGCTCACAACACAGCCCACTTCTCCAACCCCTCATTGCCCAGGCCTCCCCAGACCCATGTGGACACTCCCCAGGAGCCTAGTCTGGGTAGAGGACAGGGGCAGGCCATTCAGAGCTCCTACCCTCCTTCACACCAGCCCAATCAGCCAAGTCTGCCCCTACCTCTGCACATGGATCTCCAGGGCCACACCGTGCTCCCCATCACCCGATGAATGTTCTACCCTCACGACAGTGTCCAGGAAGGTCACCTTGATCCTCCGAAGCACTGAGGGATGGGGCAGGTGTGTCTCAGGTGAGGCACAGAAGCAAGGGGGGAGGCGGAGTTTCTGATATAGGCAGCATGGTGGCCTAGGGAACCTGTCTTGTACAAGGGGCCGGAGGCCCAGTGGGGCCCACTCACCAGTCTCAATGGTTTGGGCAAACATCTCGAGCCCCTCCAGGGGCTGTGGTGGCTCAGAAGGCTCAGGTAGTCCATCCCGTAGACACTCCTGGGCCAACTGCAGACTCGTGGTCATGCATGAGGCCCAGCTCTGTGAATCGGCAGCCCCTGGACCTGTGGGGAGAAAGGGGATCTCAGGGCAGGCGGGCTCGGTCAGCACCGAGTGCCCAACCCACTCCCACCAGTTGTCCACCTCCTGCCTTGCTCTGTTCTCACCTGGGCCCCGGTGGGGCTGCAAGGTGAGCTGGAGGCCTGTCACACACACGGTGCAGTGGTCGGTGAGTAGTGCAGCCCAGGGCACGGCCACCTCGATGGAGCTCACGAAGCCTTCCACCAGCTCCAGTGGCGACTCCATCGACTCCAGCACCTCGTTCACAGACTGGGAGCAGGAGGGACAAAGCCAGGAAAACCCCAATTCCAGCCAGTTCCATAGCCCTGTCTGGCCCTCCACCTGAGAGAGCGCCTCTGGCTTTCCCCGTCCTGCTACATGCTATCGATAAGGTCTCACTTTTGCTCATCCTGTTCCGTACCCTGCCCCCTTCACTCCAATATCCAAAGGTTCCCAATCTCTTTTTTTTTCTCTCTCTTTTTTTTAAGTTGGCTATAGGGTGCATGAGCTCACCAGAGAGAGAGAGAGAGAAAGAGAAAGAGAGAGAGAGATGAGAAATCACTCCTGAGAGAGAGGGGTGGCCATGCCATAATTTCTTCTCCTTCATTCTCCTCTCAGGATTTTGAACACACACACACAGATGCCCTGTGTGTTTTTCAAGCTGCTAGGTCCAGGACTCAGACCATGCAGTCAGCCAGGTGGTATTCAGGTGCTTTAACCTCCAGGCCCCCAAGTTCCCAAGCTTTCAAGCCAACTCAAATGTTTCCCTCTCCATTCAGTTCAAGTAAGTATTCACCGGGCACCTGTTACATGCTGATGCTGAAGCTGAAGGGCAAATAAAATGTCTTCCCTCCCCGAACTAGCCAGGCTTAAGCCAGCAACTCAGAGCGTACCAGGACGAAACTTGGAGATAAGCAAGCACTAGGCAGGTTGAGATGGGGAAGCCTACCCTAAGCAGGTTGAGATGGGGAAGCCTACCCTAACTCAGCCTGCACGTCAGAGGAGGGAGAGCTGAAGGACGAAGAGCTGAAGGGACCAGGCAGAGGGATGATGGTGTGTTCTGGGCATGGACACAACACACAAAGGCCAGGCAGAGAGTACAGCACGCTCATCGACGTTCATACTAGGTGAGCAGAGAGTTCAAAGAAGTGTCCAGGAGAGAGGGCTGACCTGAGGCTGACTGGAACTCCCAACCCCAAACACTTGATGGAGCTGCCCTTCTGTCCAAGGCACAGGCCAAGCCCCCAGTTAAAATTTCTACGGTGTTGCACCTCAACCAGCCAGGGACATCTTGGAGAGTGGCAGCATACGGGCCTTCTCCCTGCGACCCCAGGTTGTGGTGTCACTCAGACAGGGCCTCAGTAAATACTTGCTGGGTCCATCAGTAAACAAGCACCGGGGGCCGGCAGGTGGCGTGGAGGTTAAGGGTGCCGGACTCCCACATGGCCGACCGTGGTTTGAGTCCCGGACCTGGTGGCTTGCTTTTCCACTTTCTCTCTCTCTCTCACTTTGTCCCTCTCTGGTCAAATTAATAAATAAATAAAGTTAAATAAAATAATTATTTTTAAAAAGAATTTATAAAAAATAAATAAAAATAGGGACCAGCAGTTAGCATAATGGCTTTGTCACTGAACTCCCATGTAGTAGACCTCGGTTTGAGTCCCTCACCTGGTGGCTTAAACTCAGCCAGACGCATGTGTGTGTGTGCCCAAGATCCTGAGGAAAATGGAGGAGAAGGGATTGTGGCGCGGCCATCCCCCCTAGGGGATGATTTCTCACTTTCCATCTCTGTCTTTCTGGTGAGAGCATGAGGCCTGTAGCAAAAACCTCTCCAAAAATAAATAAACAAACAAACAAATAAACAAGCACTGGGTCCATAGGGATCAAGTCTAGATTCTTCACTCCCAGACCCACAGACATGGAAACTGAGGCCCAGAGAGAAGGGACTAGTCTAGTTAACCAGTATACTAAGGGGATTGAGACTGGGATGCAGGCCTCTCTCCTCATCCCTTCCAGAGTCACAAGACACTCAGCTTCTTTTGGTGCCTTCAAGGTGGGGGCTGTAGGCCAGGGAGCTGGGAGGAAGGGCTGGGTATCAAGAAAGCACCTGCATTCTGTCAGGGCCCCTCTTCCCTGAGGGCAGCCTGGAAAGCTGCCTAATTAAGTGCCAATTCGTTCCCACGGGGAAGGTAGGACATGGAGGAGTAGGAGTGTTTTCTGAGACAGGTATAGGAAGGGACAGTCTAGAGTTCTGGGCCATCTTTTAGGCCAGCCTAAGGGGCTGGGGTCAGAGGTCAGAGGACTCCTCCACTGGAATTCACAGACAACAGGCTGTTGAGATATGCCCCCAACTCAGGGCTCTTCCCTCACCCCACATTTGCACATCAGGGCCTGTCCTACCCCTAAAGCCTAGCTCATCTTGTCCAGAGTTGCAGAATCCTGAAGCCAGACAGAAAACTAAGAATCCCTTACCCCCATACCTATCCCTGCTGCTCTGGATCTGGTGAGTTAACCTAGGACCAGCCCATGACGCCTCTAATTGTGGTTCCTTCATCACTCCTCAGGTCACCTGAGCTGTGAGTCAGGCCCCCAGCCTCAGGCCTCTGACCCAGACCTCATTTCTCTTGGCTTCCAGCATCTCCCTCAGCCTCCTCCCTGCCCAGAGCCAGCTCTCCCCATCTTTCCTCTGAGACTCCCCTGCAGGTAGGAATGTTGACATCCAAGTCCCTCCCTAAATACCCTCTGTCAGTCCCACTCTCCCCAAAGCAGGAAGTAGACAGCAGCAGCAGCAATTCCACGAGTTGCTGGAGGTGTTGATCAACACAGTGTGACGCTGCTGTTGACATTCACATCCGGTGCCCAACCCCACCCACTGGGCTAAGCTCGTGGGGTGAGGAGGTCAGGGCACAGTTTCCACAGGTGCCCTCACCAGGGATCTGGACCCCCACCAGCCTCCCCAGACCAGCCGCCCCAGCCCCAGCTCTGCCACTGCCCTGCTCTGGTGGCCAGAGTCCCCGAGTTCCTCTGCTCCCTCCTCACTCCCTCCTTAGTCCCTCAACACCACCCCAACTCAGCCCCCCAAATCAATGTGCTTATGCTGACTGACATTCTCCAGGAGTGACACCACTTCGTCCTAGCCCCCGCTTCTGCTCCTGGGAAGTGGAGGCCGGGACTCCTTCCTGCTTAGCTTTCTGTCTCTAGTGAGGAACTGAAGTGACCAGCCAGTGGGTCTTTCTGACGCCTGGAGAGGGCCAACTCCTCTGGCGTCTCCACACCGGTGCCTGGTCCCCCCAGCCCGATCCATTCGCCGAGAGCTTCAGGTCGCTGCGCTCCCTCCCTCCGCAACTTCCCGGGCTCGGGCCTGGCTCCTCACCCAGATCTCCAGGTGGATGTCCCTTAGGGCAACGCTGCCCTTGTACAGATCGAGGCTGAGCTGATCCAGACTGAGGTGCTCCTGAAAGAAGTGACCCAAGTAGTGGTGCAGCAAGTAGCGGCAAACCCGCTCTTTCACACAGTTCGACCATGGCCACAGCCATCGTGACATTTCGGAGATCGCCGGTCCGGGCCGCCTCCGCTCCCCGCCCGCCCGGGATCCCCGGCCGGCTGCGCTGCTCACTAGCGGCCGCCGGCGATCCCCGTCCGGCTGCGCTGTTCACTAGAGCCCCCGGCTCTCCCCGCCGCTTCTCTCAGCTCCAGGCCGCGCCCCAAGACGCCCAGCCACGCCCCCCACGCTCACTACCATTGGCCCTTGCAAAGGGCGAGACCTAGTGATTGGCCGCGGGGGGCGGAGCTTCAGAGCGCGAAAAAGGGACTGGGCTCCGTGCATGATATATTGCCCTTGATTTTGATTTACGCTTGCGTGTAAGTACTGTGTGGGAAGACCTTTGACCTCCCTTCTACAAACCCTGGAAGGGCTGTTGCTTGAGGTGCCAGCCCGGTAAAGGAATGCGCATGTGTTGACCCGCCCAACTACTTTAGGTAGTTGTGGAGGATTTAAAGGGACAGTATCCTATCAAACTTTGTGGAAGGCTTCCCTGAGGAATAAAGGCAAGTGTGGGATCTGCAGCCCGCATCCTTAGATGCAATTAAATAAATATTTGATTTTACAAAAAGTTTTACCATTCTTTCACTCAGATCTTTTTAACACTCCTCTAAGGTGGAAATTATTATCGCCAGGTAAGAAAGGTTTAGGGACCAGCAGTTGGCGTAATGGTTATGTCGTTGGACTCTCATGTAGTTGACTACAGCTCGAGTCCCGGAACCGATGGCTTAAACTCACGCCAGGCGCGTGTGCGTTCGTGCTCAAGATCCCTAGAGGAGAATGGGGGAGAAGGGATTGCGGAGTGGCCATCCCCTCGGGGGATGATTTCTCACTTCTGTCTCTCTGTCTTGTCTTTCTGGTGAGCACACACGCCCTGTAGCAAAAGAAAAAAAAAAAAAAGGCTTATAAACGTTGCTGAGTTCATCACCAGGAAGGGTCTGTTTTTCTACTCCTTACCACAGAATGCCCAGCAAGAGATTAACTGGCCTTCCCTTATCTCTGCCATTTGACAGGCCCGGGGCCCCTCTCTGGAATAACAATAGCTTTTCATATCTCTAGTCCTAAAATCGGTAAAGAATGGATTGTACCTCTCTTGAGCAGGAGTACATTATCCTCGTATAGTTTGTGAGCTAATAATGGTTTTTACATTTTTATTTTATTTTTTAGGTTATTGCCATAGGGCACACAGGGCACGTGCGGTCGCTAGAGAGAGACAGAGAGAGTGAGAGGGAAAGTGAGAAATATCCTCCCCACACCCCACCCCGGAGGATGGCAATCCCTTATTCATGATTTTGGGCACTCACTCACATACATGCCCAGTGTGATTCTTTTTCTTTCTTAAAAAAGTATTTTATTCAGCTTTATTTATTATCATTATCATTTCTTAATTTAACCAGAGAAAGACAGAGAGAGAGGGAAAATGACAAAGCAAGCCTTCAGGTCCGGGACTTGAACCACAGTCAACCATGTGGAGTCCAGTGATTTTTTTTTTTCTTTTTTTGGAGAGTTTTTTTGTTTTTTGTTTGTTTGTTTGTTTGTTTTTGCTATAGGGTGCATGCGCTCGCCAGAAAGACAGAGAGAGACAGACAGAAAGCGAGAAGTCACCCCCTGGGGGATGGCCATGTTGCAATCCCTTCTCCTCCATTCTCCTCTCAGGATCTTGGGCACATACACACACGTGCCTGGCGTGAGTTTAAGCGCTGGGTCTGGGACTCAAACCACGGTCAACTACATGGGAGTCCAACTACATGGGAGTCCATTACACCAACTGCTGGTCCCTTCCAGTGATTTTCAAGTGAAGGGGTGTGGGGCGCAAACCCAGACTATGTGAGTGTCCAGCACCTTAGCCACTATGCCACTTGCTGGCCCCGTGGGCTTTACATTTTTTTTTAAAGAATTATTTAGGCAGCAGCAGATGATGTAATGATTAAGTTGCTGGACTCCCACATAGCTGAGGTTCAAGTCCTGGACCGATGACTTAAAACACGCTGGGCACATATGTGTATGTACCCAAAATCCCGAGAGGAGAGTGGAGGAGAGGGGGTTGCGGCATGGCCATTCTTCCTGGGGGGTAATTTCTTACTTTCTCTCTGTCTCTGGCAAGCACATGTGCCCTATAGCAAAAACTTCTCTTTCAAAAAAAGAATTATTTATTTTATTTTATTTATTATTATTATTTCTTTTTAAAAAATATTTTATTTAACTTTATTTATTTATTTATTTTTAATTTAATTTGATCAGAGAGGGACAGAATGAGAGAGAAAGAGAGAGAGGGAAAGTGAGAAAGCAAGTCACCAGGTCCGGGACTCATCACGGTCGGCCATGTGGGAGTCCAGCACCTTAACCACTGCGCCACCTGCTGGCCTCAGTTTTTACACTTTTAAATTGTTGGGGTCAAAAAGATCAAAAGAATTATTTCATAATATGTGCAAATCATAGGAATTCATCATTCAGTGTCCATAAATATTTAGTGGAACATATGCTCATTCATTATAGTACTAAGACTGCTTTCTTGTGACAGTGGCAGAGTTGACCACTTGAGACAGAGGTCTCCAAAGCCTAAAATATTTATTTTCTGGTCCTTTACATAAAAAGTTTACTGACCTCTGCTCTAAAACATTGGCCACACAAAATTAAAAACAAATAAAGGAAGTTAAACAAAATAATTCTTTAAAAAATAAATAAATAAAAGGAGGCTGGCAGGTGGCATAGTAGTTATGGTTGCTGAGCTCCCATGTGGCTGACTGTGGTTCTAGTCCTGAACCTGGTAGCTTGCTTTCTCACTTTCCCTCTCTCTCACTCTCTCTCTCTGCCTCTCTCTGGTCAAATTAAAGTAATTAATTAAATTATTCTTTAAAAAATTTTTTAAAAGTCAGCCACACAAAACCTCTTATAGCATAGGTGACTTAAGGATAGCTACCGGTTATTATGACTCCATTTTAGCCTAACGAGGGAATTGGGTTTTATTGCCATCTAATACCAAAGTCAGTCTGATGCACAAATAGGTGCCCCAGCACAGGGCCAAGGACCTAGATTCCAGTCTTAACTCTGGGTCATCTCAGGCAAATCACTGTTCCTCTGTGAGTCTTAGGTTTTTGTTTGAAAGTAACTTTTTTATTCCATGAGAGATAGAGGCAGAGAGAGGGAGAGAGAAGAGAGAGAAGGGGAAAGAGCCCGGATCACTGCTTGGTGAGCTTGGAATATACAAGGAGGCCTCGGGTACGAATCAAGGTCTGCTCCGTGTGGTTCCAGCATCACAGAGTGTGTGTTACTGCTAGGCCGCTAGCTGGCCTACTGAGCCTCAGTTTTATGCCCTGTAACCCGAGGTTTGGTCCAGTTAGTAGGCTGGACAGCTCATTACCTACAAGGGACTGAGGAACGGCCTTCAGGAGAAGCTGTGGGACATTGGGAAGGCCCCACTCAGGGAGACAGGATAATGTGACGGACATTCGAAAAGTGCTTGTGGGATGAATCAAGAGATACGCCTATTCTCCATGACAGGCCAGGGATAGCACAGTTGTGCTCATTGATCGTTTACTAAATTAATAATAATAAAATAATAAATACCAGGGGCCAGCTGGCGTTATAGTGGCTAAGGTGACTGGATCCCACATGGCTGACTGTAGTCCGCGGCTAGGTGGTTTGAGAAACACACTGGCATGTGTGTGTGCATGCCCAAAATCCTGAGAGAGGGGACTGCAGCATGGCCATTGCCTCTGGGAGGTACTTTCTCACTTTCTCTCTCTCCTGCTGTCTCTGGTGAGCACACATGCTCTATAGCAAACTAAAAATAAATAAATAATAGATTTTTAGAATTGAGCCCATGTGATGTTCTAGGCCCCGGGTTTATTACTTTACGTAAGCATTATCTCATCTGCTCTTTTTTTTTTTTTTTTTTGAGACAGGTTTTTGCTATAGGGCACATGCTCTCGCTGTGAGCTATGGCAAAAACAGAAAGAGAGAGAAAGAAAGACAGAAAGCAGGGGGATGGCCATGCCGCAATCCCTTCTCCTCCGTTCTCCTCTTGGGATCTTGGGCATGCATGCCCATGTGCCTAGCATGAGTTTAAACCATGCACATGCGCTCGGTGTGAGTTTAAGCCACCGGATCCAGGACTTGAATCACGGTCGATTACATGGGAGTTCAGTGACATAGCCATTACGCCAACTGCTGGTCCCTCATCTGCTCTTCACCATACACTCATAAGGCAGACACTATTAATATCCCATTCTAGGGCTGGATGGTGGTGCAGCAATAAAACCTGGCATTCTGTAGGGATGATCCACAGGATGGTTCTGGGTGTGGGTCCACAGACTCCCTGGGTTTGCGGGGTACACACATGTCCATGATCTGTGACTCTTTTGCTCATAGGAGAAATAAATACATGTTTAAAAATTCCATTCTGCAGGGGACCAGCAATTGGCATAATGGCTATGTCGCTGGACTCCCATGTAGCTGACCGTGGTTCGAGTCCTGGACTCGGCGGCTTGAACTCATGCCAGGTGCATATATGTGTGTGCCCAAGATCCTGAGAGGAGAATGGAGGAGAAGGGATTATGGTGTGGCCATCCCCCCTGGGCAGTGATTTCTCACTTTCTGTGTCTTTGTCTCTCTCTGTCTTTCTGGCAAGCGCATGTACCCAATAGCAAAAACCTCTCCAAAGAAACAAAACCAAACAATTCCATTCTGCAGGAGAGGAAAGAGACGTGAGCCTATGTGCCTGAGGAACAACTTCTCCCCCAACAAAAGGCAGTGGAAATGGAAGGGTACATTCTTTTTGAGTCCAGGAAGAGTTATCGTCTTGTCCAGTCTGCGGGGGGGAGGGGGGTGTCACCATTTCTCAGCTGAGGGGTTGGGGTACATCTTGGGGTGCGGCAAAGACTGGGGACACAGGGCCATTTCCTATATCTAGATCCCCAACTCCCCTCTGAGGTGGCTGCTTCCTCCCACTGAGGGTAACTTCAGGGTCCCTGAACTCATGCCCATCTCTCATTGTGACTTGACTGGTTGCCACGTCTGTCTCTTAGGGCTGGGACCCTGTCAGAATTCCTCCCTATAGAGAGCAAAGGGGGAGAGCCAAACTCTGCCCAGGGGGTAGGATTCTAGGAGGGATTCTAATCTCCACCTTAGATTAG